TCTGTGATGGACTTGCAAACTGGATATATGGGCACGAGTGACCCCCTGCAACCCAAAAAGGAAGACGTGAGTAAAGATAATGGATGGATGAATGAATGGATGGATGGATGGATGGAGTCCAGTCTTCTCTTTTGTCTCAAAATATAAAAATATCAATAAATGTTAACAATCATTGGATGTTTTTTAGTTTCATAATCTCACGCCCACCGGCCAGAAAAGCCTCTTCTTACAAACTTAAAGTGGCCCATGGGCCACCAGTTGAGAATGACAATTGTAGCAGGTTTTGAGGCTCTGGACACATTTCATTTAGTGAACGAAGGGGCAGAAATGGCTCTTTTGATCGTAAAGGTTGCAGACCCCAGTTCAAGCTTATAGGTTTTTTGTTTGTAGTTATTTTATATTTTTTTTAAATAAGGGGTAGATATTATAAGATTTTTTTCTTCTTTCTGCATTCTTTTCTTTCAATGTTTTCTTTTCGATGAATTAGTTTTGTTTATTTTGTTTCTTTTAAATGAATGAATAAATGAATAAAATAAAGATACAGTATATTAACCTGCAGCGTTCCCTCAGTGCAGACTGGACTTGGCAAAAAGGGCCTTTTCCTCTCAGCTCCTGTAACCTGGAACAGCTTGCAACAAGGTCTGAAGTTGTCCACCTTCATTTCGTTAAGGGGTTTCAAACATTTGATAAGGTCAACAGAAAAATCTATGCAAATGTGTTCTTGTTTTTAGTATTTTACCTCGTTTTATGGCACCTTGACTTTATTGTTTTTTTAACACTACTTTTATCTTAATTGCATTTTATTGTCTGTCTAAAACAGGTCCCTCTTGTAAATGAGTCCTCGTGAATTAATGAAACTAACATGTATAAATAAAGGTTAAATGAATATTGTGTACTTTAATTATTTTTTTGTTTTGTTTTTAGTTGTTTGTGTGTGTCTGAAATTGGTGCTGTTGCCTTCTTCTCCCTTGAAAAAGAGACTTTGTAATCTCAGCGGGACTCACCTGGGAAAATAAAGGTTAATAAAAAAGAATGAAAAATCTCTGCAGATTTGTTCTTGTTACAGCTATTTTATCCTGTTCTACTTGGTCATTTATTTTAATTTCATTGTACTTTTAATGTATATGTCAAATACTAGTCTGGCAAGTTTTTTTGTCCGGTTTCTCTTAAAAACAAGTCCCATGTCCCAGTGGGATCACATTAAACATGAATTAAAGGATAAATAAAATGAATACAGTGCATTTGGAGTTAGTTTTTCATGCCCAGCTGTTTCCTTTAGTCTTTGTTTTGTTTAATAAAGAATGATTAGTTTTTGTACAGTTGAGTTTAGATTGGAATAATTTTAGATCCAGACCAGAACTTATTTTTATTATGCCTTGATCCATAAACCCACAAACGTGGATGAAAACAAGGTGGATCTTATCCCCCATCACCCTTAGCTTGGCTTCTGCACCAAATATTTAGACGTTTAGCTTAAAAATGTATTTTAAACAGTAAAGTCCCATTTGAGTGTCAAATAATGTTGTTTTAATGTAAAAATGTTTGCAGACCTTGGTATTTAATTCAATTCAGTTCAGTTCATTTACTGTATACAGTGAAAAGTCACAGCAGAAGTCATCTCAGGGCACTGATGTCAATCCTAAAATTAAATATATTTAAGTAACATGCCTGTAGTTGAAACCTGCAGTAAAAATAATAATTATTTCAAACCCTTAAGAGGAAATGATTAAAAGCCTTGGTTTTCATGTCTTTAATGTGATGAAAAAGAGATAAAAAGTGAAGGAAGTATTGCTGTGTTCTCCTGCTCAAAGAACAAGTAGAACCTGATTGTTCCTCTGCAGCATCTTATAGTTTACACTTTTGTTCATTTTAATTAAAAACGTTTCATCATCTGTAAAAATGCTGCGTCATGAATTCATCCCAGCAGACAGCCAAGTCATAAAACTTTACACCGACGCCTCAAACAGGGGCCGTTTGCTGCAGAACTTTCTGCACACTGAGTAAAAGCCAACCCGGCTGACACTTCCTGCATCTTTTCCTGCACGTCCACCGTCCGGCTCCTCTGGACCTGAACTTGCTGAGGGGCAGAATTGGATTCATTTTATGCGCTCGCTCAAATAAACTGCTAAATACATTTAGCTGCTTCAATTCAATCTGCATGAGAGCTCCTGTCTGTCTCTAACTGAACACCGTCCAGCTGCAGTGAAGAGGTGTCCTGTCCAGGCACTTTTTGGATTTGGTGGGAGGAAAAGTTTATTTTTAAATAAAAAGTTATCCTAAAAAAAACACAAAGTTCTGCATTTATTCTAACTCTCTCTCCTGAAATATTCACAGTTCTTCTCTATTTGTCCAAAATTAACTTCTGGATGGATTTGGACAAGGAACGAACA